CTGCTGCTGCTGCTGCTGCTGCTGCTGCTGCTGCTGAGGGCTGTTTCCTGTGACTAATAGCAACAGTGGCTTTTCCCCTGTACCCACTCTTTGCTTCCTATTTGTACACATACTCTCTTCATTCACCCAGCTTGCCCAGACACAAGGGCTACAGTGGAGTTAGTGGCCCAGGCTGGTTTTCAGAGAGAGCAGCTAACCTTTCCCAGCCCTGAACCTAGAAGAGGTTGACTCAAGATTTTCCATGGCCTGAGGATACCAGTTCTCACTGTGGCCTTGGTTGGCAGTGCACTAGACTATAGGTGATCAGATCTCTAGGAGAGGGTTAGGCTGCTGGGCTACTACAGAGGTGTAGGGTCAGGGAATGTGGGTCTACGTTCCATAGCTGATCTCTGTGCCTCCCAGCTCTGCCTGAGAAAGCTCACCCCTCCTCCCTCCGAATCTTGAGAGGAACTCAAGAGTTGTCACAAGTGGACACCAAGCTCCTTCTCCTTGGCATACCCCCTCCCCCTCCAGTCACACTGCACTAGTCTCAGGTGCTTGGAAGACAGACAGATGTGGAGTACTTGAGGAGTAGCACTTTCTTCCTCAGGGGCCCTGATTGAGCGGAGTGGTTCACATGCCAGACAGCTCCTTAACCACAGCAGGAGAGGACAGGGGAAACCGAGGACAGTGTCAGGTTTGGGGACAGGATGGGCAGAGGGTGGGCCGTGAGGCCTGAGTAGATTTGGGTCCATATCAGCTGCTGGGGATACGTGCACCGGCACTCATGTTTGACTGCTGCTGGTGCAAACTCTGGATTCCTGGGCCTGGAGCATCCATGTGGAGCTGTCATGTGCCCAACATGTCCTAGACAAAGTCTGACAGAGCCTCATACCTGTCTCAGGTGGCTCTTATAGAAACTGCTACAGCCTACTAAAGGTGGCAGATCACTAGGTGGATCTGCATCACCTCTGGGTTCTTACCTTAGTACTCCCACAGTTGATCCCGGTTATGGTGAGTTTGTTTCCAATGAAGGAGATGCCATTGTTCAGACTGACCTCGAGAGAAACTTCCCTAAAGCACAGAAAAGAGACTAGATGATGGAAAGAACCCTGGAGACTCAGTTTGCTGCAACTGTCACACATACAAGTCCTCCGTGTAATGATGCTGAAATTCCAGCACAGGACTCCCTGACAGTGAACATGTGGGTAGAGGAACTTTACCACCCAAAGCATAAAGGGTCAACCTCTGCAGGGATGTGAAGGCTGCAGATTAGGCCAGAGGTCTTCATGGCATATGACCACAATGGCCATGAGGTAAGGAATCAGGGAGATAATTAAAACACTGGTTTGAACCCTCTAACCCATCATCTTCTCCATCCTGCCCTCAGCAGTGCCTGGGCACTGTGTATTCCTGAAAACCACCAGAGTTACTAACAGGGTCATGTGGAAAGGAAATGGAACCCACATACAGGCAGATAGGTGCTTATAGCAGAGGACACACCCCAGATTCTCCACAAGCTGGTAGACATCAACCTTTGAATTTCCCACTAAGGCCTCCAGCAAGGTACACTTACTCTCCAACATGCTGTATCTTTGGTCCAGGACAGTTTATATTGCTATCATCTACACCAAGGGGGCTTTCATCTAAAAGAAAATGGCACAAGCTTATCAATAGGAGTGTCCTTCCTCCACTGTCACTCTCTGTCTGAGAACTGACACTGGTTAATGACTGCTTACTCCCCCTGCATCTTTTTGTTTAAAGGCACTGGCTGAGTTCCAACTCTGCCCACTCCTGAACAGCACTCTGGTGCCTAGCAGGCACATATAGCAAGGGCTCCTGTACCCCGGGATCACATGTTAGAGAGAGAGAGAGAGAGAGAGAGAGAGAGAGAGAGAGAGGACAATATAAAGATAGAGTGCAATGTGCTGTGACATGGGTGAGCAGAGAGAGAGGGAGAGCAGAGGATGCTGGGGAGAGGACAGATGTTCAGTTACTGGTGATGTGTCCTTTCTTTTAAAGATATGATTTCTCATTTAAAGAAATAAGTGTTCACACATGAAATGATATCTTGCTTGGAATTTAGTTAAAGATATTCAGTGATGAGACTGCCAGGGAGATACACGGTATGGGTTGTGAATTACTGAGCATTGGCCATGGGTGCTTCAAGACCATGTAAAATTCTTAGTACCATTGTGTTTGGTGAACTATGTGCACTGAAATTGATTTTGTGTAAATTGCTGGTGTCTGAGCTAGGAGCAGGAAGGAAATAACCTTAGGGTTGGAGGTTCTGGGATAAGAGGCAAATGATAAGGCACCTACTAGGTTGCTAAAAGTCTGGAAGTGTGGGCTCTGGGAAGAAGTTTGGGCTTTACTCATAGTGCAATGGATCTGTCAGGGGCTGTGGATGATCCAGATTAAGGCAACATGAGGTGCTGGTGGATTGGGTACAGGGATAGGAGAAGAGGACCAAGAATGGCAACCAGGTTTAGACCAAGGAAGTAGGTGGATAGTTGTGTTGTTTACTGAGCTGAGGATGTCTCATAAAGGATTAGACATTTTTCTTTTCCTCCTTTGGGAGCCTGAGAAGAATTCTGTAACAGTGGCCACTAATCCTTAACACACATTCTATTCCAAGTCTACTGAGCTGTGGCAAAAAGCCAAGAGCTGAGCTGTGATCCCACTGGCTATGCTTCCAATTTCCCAATCCTCGGTTTCCCCTCTGTGTGCTGTAATGAATGTCTTTTCAGAAAGACTTCCTGGACATCTTCTAGGCTCAGTCTGGAGGCTGTTGCTCTGTCCTATCTGTAGATGCCAGCTTTTGGTATTAGATCCCCAGGAAGGGGAACAGACTAAATGGATATAGTAGTGAGGATGGGCCAGTGTCATGCCAGCCTCCAGATGCCTTTGGGAGTTGGGGTTTATTCTTGAGCTATGTTCGTGTGAAGGCGCATGAGGATAGGCATGCTTCTTGGTCCTTTTTCCATTGGTCCATGCTGCCTTTAGCTCCCCATTGGACGTGGTCAGCAAGAGCAGAAGACATGGCTGACTTAGAGAAATGATTCTGTATGGTAATGGGTACTGGGGTACTAATAACTACTTACCAACAACTCTGGAATCACTGAACGTGAATCTGCACATAACTTGGCTCAGGTCATTTGTATTCTTAAAGCCATGTCCGCTAATGTTTACTTGGTAGATGTCTGCAAGAAGAACACTTAAATGTTGGAGCAGAAGAGTTGGGTGCCGTGTTCTTTCTGGTCTCACCTTTCATGAAGGGCTACCCTGAAGATGGAATTCTCAGGGGCCCTTACGAAACAGCAGCAGTGTCTGAACCATCATCTATGGTACTTGTAGAGCAAATCTTCATCTTTTGTCACTGAGTATCCATGATAATGCAGCTGGGAGGGACCTTAAGAAGGTAGGAGTCCTACTACTGTGATCACTGACCCAACAAGTCCAAAGTCATGAGAGTCCAGACCTGTTCCAAGCTAGGCCAACTCAGCTGGAAGCTTCCTGTTTGGAGACCTCACACACTCCTGAATCCACATGGGCACTGTAGCAGAGGCAGAGCCCTTTCCACACAGGGTTAGGGACCAGCTCCCTACTTGATGCCTGTGGTGCCATTGAGCATGAAGACTATCCATTGTTTCCTGTGTTTCTATGGTGCACTAATAGAGACCTCAAGAACAAGGGCTGGGGCATAAGGACGCGGTCTGGTCCCTGACCCATTCAAGAGAATACCTAATAGTATATAGCTCCTCTTAGACACAGGTTCAGTCCCTGATGCACACAAGAGTGTCCTCACAGGAGATGGCCCTTCTCAGATACAGGTCATGAACCCAGTGCATACTTCTTCATCCTTATTCACCTTGCCCATCACTCTGGTCTTTCTAATATCAGTGAACACCTCCCTGACACTGACACAAAATAAATAGGATACAGAGAGGATGGCTGGGTGGGCGATTCTACAGGCACAACTCCTTTATCTTCTCATTTGCCTGCATAGCTGCCTTGGCACCCGACCAGCTCCTTCCTGTCTCCCATGTATTCCAGACACCTCAGGGTAGTTGATCAAGGACCCTCCTTTACAAGGACCCTCCTCAGGCTCCATAGCACACAGGTGGACTCAGTGCCACCACAAGCAAACAGCTAATTCTGTTTCATTTGGGGTGCAGGCTCCTGCCTTTGGTTTCCCTGGAAGTGACAGGTATTGTTTTACGGCAGCTTCACACAAGAAGGCCAACAGTTTAACAGTTCAGTGGCTGAGCAGATGTCTGGAGGCACCTGTCACCTTGGTTCAGCTACAGGGGAGAAAAGAGTGACAACTCATGTTTTCACCTGGGGATTGTCACAGGTGTCCAGACACCTAGGCCTGTGTGTTTCCGGGTGGTCAGAGGCAGGTTGCACTGCTGGGCTTTTTATTTTTGCTCATCCCAGAAGCAGAAGAAACTCTGCCGAAGTCTTTTCTCCCTTCATCTCTCAGTATAGTGGACTCCCCACTCTTCCAAAAGAAGGGGAGGGGCAGGGGCAGCCAAGAGCTAATGGCTAGCTTCTGTAGTCCTTAACACCTACGAGCCTCTAGATGCTCGTGTCTGTGGCCACACCATTCATTGTCTCATTGTCTCTACATCCCCAACATAATTCTGCTACTGGAGCTCCCACATACACGGCACTGCCTCAGATCTGTGCCTGAGGGTGGCACAGCTCACAAGCAAGCATAGTCCTATTTTCTCACACCTGGAGCCTTGGGCTCCCATTGAAGAATATTCAGGTCAGGACCCAGCTGCCTGAGCCAGAAGGCAAGGAAGAGCTGAGCTGTCCATAGTGGTAAAAGGAGACTTAGGGTTTCCTGTATCTTTCTCCTGCAGGGAACAAAATTCAGCTCTATGAAACCAAGTCTGCATGTAAATAATGCTAACAAATAAAGACATTCTTCCTCCAGAAACAAACACACGTGTGTCTTTGGCACACTGATGCAGGGGCCTTGGAATGGACAGAGGTCATCCTTGTCAGTTCTAGTCCTGGAGATCAGGTGTTAGCCATGACAATGCTGGGGTGAGGTAAGCATGGCTGTCTTTGTGAATATCTTTGGCAGGTATTGGATGTTTCCAGGAGCAATGTAGATGCCCACTGTGCATATTACATACTACATACTACATGCATATGCATACTGCCTATGGCATATATGGCCATAAAACACAAGCATACAAACATCATTGCCCTTTAGAAATACTACAAACTTGATCACCCATATCACACACACACACACACACACACACACACACACACACACACTTCAAGCTCTTTAATACCACATATATCCTCACAAATGGACACACTCCATGCCCTGCATAAAACAGCACACATGATTTATTCCACACTGTTATAAACACATACTACAGATAATATACATACTATTCCTATATAGCAGACAATATAAATACATGGCATAAATCTCATAAATTTATACTAGACATCACATGTCACATAAAAGCTCAGACATGTAGTACATATCATAAAAGCATACCATGTGGTACATACACATTATATGCCCTTCCTACCACAATACATCACAACACAGAAACCCTAACATACATAGCACAATCATATATCAGACTTTCTCCTCCCATGCCTATTTGAGCCACTCCCTCCACAGCCCTTCCACGACCGATATCATATTACATATACCATGCTTATACACACTGCTCACACACATCCATCAAAAGCACACTTACCACACACAAGCATTCTTTTCTGTGTCAATGTTCCAAACTTTCAGACATTTTTCCTGCAAGTTATTTTCAAAGGCCTAAGAACCACACAGTCAGAGTTTAGCAGCAGCATCACTCCTGATGCCAGTTTTCCGTATTAGTTACTTTTCTTGTTGATGTTGTGACAAAACGCCAGACAAAATAAACTTAGATAAACAGAATAGACTGATTTTAGTTCACAGTCCAAGCGTACAGTCCATCATGTAAGGGAAGGAACACAAGGAACATGAGACATTGGGTTATATTGAATCCACAGTCATAAATGATAGAGAGGCGAATGCTAGAGCACCCTTCCTTTCATCTTTTTATTTATTCAGCTTGGGACCTCAGGCCAACGAATATTGCTGTCTAAATCTAGAGTGGTTTTTCCCATTTCAATTAACCCAGTTGAGAAACTCCCTCACGGTCACACTAAGAGGTTTGTTTTCTAGTTAATTCTAGATCTCGTCTCAATATTATCACTACATACATCACATGCAACACACATCATGGAAGCACCACACACAGGATAGGCATTCCATAAAAACCACACTCAGAAACAATATCACAGCCATAATACTCATACAAATGTACACACTCTCTTGAGTTACACCATTTGCCCATGTCCGTGACCGCTCAGCTCTTACCTTTTGTACATACATAAGAAGGCTTCACGGATATTACTTCAATACAGGACTTGGAAGCAAGCTGAGAGAGAAGAGAGAGAGAGAGATGGAAATAGATATAGAAATGGGCAGGATAGTAAGCCCCAGGGAATGCAGACAAGGTCCTCCAGTCTTCTATATCCCACTTACCCCGTCAACGATGTTATTCAGAGCAGTGAACCCTTTTTTGACCTCAAAATTGTGATATGGGCTATCTGCAATTTGGAGCATCTATGATAGGAGAAGAGTAACAGGTTTGAACCTCAGAGTGAGTCAATGTAATGGACTTGGGGCAGGAACTGTTGCCCTTAGACCATGGTAAACTGAGGGTGTCAAGCACTCACTGGCTTTCATTCAAAGCCCAAACTTAAGGAGTGGGCAACTCTCCTGCCCACTCTAGACAGGGGGTTGGTTTATTCAACCAAGTGAGCTACCCTTTTACACTGGCTTATTCTAGCCTATAGCATCCTGGGTAGATGAGAATACTACCCTCTTGGCACTGTAAAGATGCTTCACAATCTTGCTCTAATAGGCTATACAGGGGCATTTGGTCACCTGGTCTTACTTACCTGCTTTGCGTCATACTTATACACACCCACAGTGAAAATGGTTGCTCCCATTTGCCGAGATTTGTTGGCCTAAAAGAAAGAAGATGCTGAAAATAAAGCTCCAAATACCAGAGGCAAAGTGCTGAAACTTGTGGCCTGGACTCACCTCTTCCACGGTCAGCTTTAAATGCTTGTCCAGCAAAAGCCCATCAGTCATAGCAATAATCACGCTGTTGATATTGCTGCCTGAAGAAGAAATGAGGTGGGTAGGCTTGGTTAGGGACACTCTAGTAATGGCCTAGTGAGTGAGGCTTCAGATCCAGCACTGTCCACTGCAACAAAGTTGGTTGTTCCTAACTCCTTGGTCTCAGAGTGAAAAGACTTGTGCACTATATTCTACAGAGGGGTTTGAGATCCTACCATCAGGTTGGTCTTTTATTCCCAGGCTCTGGAACCTCTGCCTTAAGTGCAGTCTAGTTACTATGCTATAAGCCCAACCTCTCCTTGGGATGGTGATGAGGATGTCTAATGAGGTAGGTGGAGTCTGGGGCCAGCTAGCTTCAGGCACAATGTTAGGGACATTTTACTGGGAAAAGAGAGTCAAGACCTGCAATGGGTATAGTAAAAAATGCCTTTTAGACATGTTAGACTAGCTTATTCAGGATTCCCACTACACTCAAGGCTGCACCTGATAACCCAAACACAGTGACATCACTCATTCAAGATAACCAGACATAGTGCTAGACCCCATGATGCCCACTGGACATTATATAAGCATATACTTATATATAAGAGACCAAGAGCAATGCTCTGCCCAGCGTATCTGGAGAGACCCCACCTTGTTGTGTCCTGTGACTGGAGAGTCTCCCTGAGGATTCTCACCCTTGAATCAGAGACTTCTGTTAGCAACTGGACATGACCTTCATCTAAGATACATTGCGCAGGTGAGCAGTCTTGGGGAGATAGGCTTAAGACTGTAGTTAGAAATTATAGTGTGAGTCTTGTGTGATGACCCTCAACATAATAAAATATAACTTTTGTTATACTAATTACTTTCTTGCTGGCCACAAGACTCCAAGTCAGAAAGTCTTAGGCAGGGGACTCAATGACCCCTCACTAGACCCATTACCCAGAGGGACACAGGTCTTAGATGGGCATGGTTGACTCATGGACTTAGGAAGCTGGACAAAGAAAGCAAGAGGTAGGAAAAGACTTAGCAGCCAGAGAAAAACCAAGCCCTGGCTTCTAGCACAGGGTCCCCAGTCTACTCAGGGCCTGTTCTTTCTTCTTTCTCTTTCCCAGCACATCTGTAGGCCAAGGACCAGTGAGAACAAAGTCAACATATGACCATATGCAGCTTCTGATCCTCTCAGAAGCATCTCGAGTGGGGTGCTGTGCTCAGAGGGGCCTGCTGTGTAGAGAGGGGAGTTCTGGCTTCAAAAGCCAGACTTGAAGAGATCCAGGATCTGCACAAGATTATGTAGGAAGGCCAGCTCTGTGGGTCCTGCCCCAGTAAAGGTACAGGCAGCTTACCTTCTGAAGTAGCCTTTCTAATCTGTTCATTCGCCTGCCAGGAAATGAAGAAAAAAATTGGAGACATGATGAAATAACCCCAGTGGTACTCTACACTGAGTACCCAGTGCCCAGAGGTGGCTACAGCTGTCTGTACCTTCTGAAATCCATCCTGCATGTGTGTAAATCCTTCAGGCACCTCGTCGTTGAGTTTCTCAAGGCCCTTACGGATTGCTTCTCTAAAAAGAATAACAGAAAAGTGTCATGAAGGTTATTGCCAGGGAAAACCATCCTATGGCTTTGTCTACTCTGCAGACCACCTGGCTGAGAAAGGGCACTGGACGAGAGACACTGTCTCTCCCTTCTGAGCTGGACCTTTATTTGATTCTATGAACAGAGACAGAGGGCGACAGGGAATTCAGTGGGCCCCATATGGAAAAGTCTGTTTTACTTTGAGTTCCTTTATGTTTTTGGGTACCCAGGACTTGGAGATTGGGACAGAGACTTTGCCCATTAAATCCCTGGAGAACATCCTGGGATTTAAGCTAGGGTTTCACAGGGTACTGGTATCTGCATTCTGAATGGGCAACCTGATGCCACTGTCACCCTCCTTCTGAGCAGTCTATTACCCATTGGATAGGGCTAAGGGGGCCATGTCAGCAGCTGAGCCACTGCACAACTCCCATCTCCACTGTCATGGAGCCCTGGCATGACTCCCTCCTCCAGTCTGCTGAAGGCAGCAGCTGGTCTACTTAGATACCAGGCCAACTGTGGACTCCTCAAGCTTCCGACAGAGAAACCTGGGCCTGGGAGTTGGGCCCCGAGGGTTGTCTGTGAGGCATCTGATGTTGGTCCCTGGGCTAGAAGCAACATGGCCTGTCAGGTGCTGTTAAGACACACAAAACACACTGAGGCAGGCAGGCCTGGGTTTGAAGGTCATTCTAGGACAAGAAAGGGGTATGAGTTCCAGGATGATTTAATGTGACAAAGCTAAGTAGGCATAGCAAAGTGATCTACAGTGGACTCTAAGTGGCTTCCTATTGGGGAACAAATAGGTTTTACAGGGTCTGAGCTCTGAAAGCCCCATGCCTGGCACAGATACACCCTACTGGAAGATGAGAGAGTCATGATCAACATGCCCAGAGGTGACCAGGGATTTCCAACCCTAGTCCTGCCCTCATCCCTTTGCCAGCACATCCCAATCCAGTTCTTTCCCGCTTGGCCAGCCTAGCCCAACTCTTTGCCAATGCCCAGCCTTTTCCCATCCCATCACCTAGTCCTCTATCTGACCGTAGAATCTATCCTTCTGCCTGACCCAGTCCACTATCCGCTTCCTATTTTTATTCTCCACCTAGTTCAGACTCACTCCTCCACTCAGCCCAAGACAACCCCCCTGCTCTTCCCAGCCTCTCCCTTTTGCCTCTGCTATGACCTGAGGCTTCTCTATACTTGCCAGAATTGCCCTCAGGAATTCTCTCTGCCACTCAAATCTAATTAGGTTTTCCCCAAACCAAGCTGCTAGGCTATGCTACACCAGGCCTTGCCTAAACCCCTGGGAGCCAGCCACTTCCTGCCCCACCTCCCAGATGGACCTCAGGTGCCATGTCCATAGACTCAGAGGCTCTTGTCCCATTCATGAGGGGGTCTCCCTCACTTCCTGTTCTTGCCTTTTCTCTAAGACCCAGGACAGGGATTTTCATACCTCCAGACATCCCAATCCTAAATGCCCTCACATCTCTTTCTGTTTTTCTAACTCTGTATGGAGTCTCTGGAAGAACATGTAAAGTTGTCCTTCTTTCCTCATCAGTCAGAAGCCCTAACTTCGTACCTCTGGGATTCAGGGCACAGTTGAGCCACCTCACTTTACCGCTACCTGTTCCTCATACCTTCCTGTGGCTTATAGCACAGTTGACTCATGACCCCATCTTGAGGCCTGCTTATTTATGATCACAGGGGACCTAGCTGCCCTCCCCACACTCTAGTGCTTTCCTCAGGATTTTTCTGCTGTCTCCCTGCTTCACTTACTCAAGAAGAGAGGGACTTGTTTAGGGGAGGCCACACACATGCCAGAATGCACATAATCTCTCACCAGTTCCCTGTCATTGTGGGTATGAAGGGTACCGACATATACACTTCACCAGTTATATGTTGTTATGGGCAAGATCTAGGTAAGATTCAGGAGTGGAGAATTCCTAGAAGTATCAGGCCTATGTGTTCTACTTAAGTACAGGCTCGAGGGTGCTAGTAGCCTGAGGCTGGTGATCAATTTGGGTACATAGGTCCCCTATGGATGAACAGTGCTGGGAGACCCCAGAGGTCTCTACAAGCCCTCAGTTTCCTCAAGATCCCAGTGCCCTAACCACTGGGCTAGTCTTGGGATTCAGAGCAACACTTACCTATCAGAGGTGAGTGGAGTGATGACTTCAGCGAATGTTGAGTAGATAATGATGGACATCCGCATTTTAGGGCTGGGGACAAAGCATAACTACTGAGAAGCCAATAAACTAGGTCATCAACCTGTCAGGAAGTAGACATGCACAGAATCCCTGCTCCCACCCCATCTCTTTTGCACTGGGGTCATTCAGAGGTGAGGCATTAAGGTAAAATTGGCAAAGGATTCTAAAGCCCATGGAGATTTATAGCTCCAGGGAAAAGAAAGAACGTGTCAGGACAACGACCTGCTCCATCCCATGCTTCAACTCTCTTTTCTTCCCCTCAGTCTCTCCCCCCTGTCTTTTCTCTCCCTTTGCCTCCTACCCTTTCCTCTTACATACTCACTTCACCCATTCTGAACAGGCAAAGAGGCTCCCACACTCCCCCAGAGGGGCATCATCATCCCAATACCAAATTCTTTGCATCTCTAGCTATCTTTCTTAACCCTCCCTGGCTCCAACACAAAGAGATCACTCTCTGTCTAGGAAGCCCTTCACAGGCATGCCTCCCCTTCCCCTCTCTCCCTATGGCTCACAGTAGGAAATCAGATTTTCTTGGCTTAGCATGATGCCTGCCATGGCTTTGTCCCCAAGCTACCTGTGGTCCTCTTCTCCCAGCCTTTCATGAGTTACCTTGACCCTCTGGTGTAAGGGACCACACAATCATTGGGTGTGAATGCTATAGCTTGAGTTGGAAATGTCCCTCATTGTCCCATGTTTTGGGCATTTGTTCTCCATCTGGTGACACTATTTTGGGTGGCTGTGAAATTTTTAGATGGTATCTAGCTAGTTGAGGCAGATCATCAAGTTGTAGCCTAGTCCCTGTCACTAACATTGTCTTTCTTCTTCTTGGTCTAACATGGTGTGAAGAGCCTTGGCTACACGCTCCTCTTGCCATGCCTGTGAAGGATGGACTGAAACCCTCTGAACCTGTGGGCCACAGATACCTCGCTTTAGTTGTGTCTGTTAAGTGTTGGGGTCACAGTAATGTCACCCTCTGACCCTGTTCATTATCCAGCCTCCAGGACTCAGTTTACATTTGCAGTTTCTCTAGGACTCTAAACTTTTCTCTGAGGATTCCTACCGTTTCCTTTGTCTTTCCATGCCAAGCTCCTCAATCCACTCCTCTGGTCCTAAACATCCTATACTAAATATAAGTTACTGCCTATCATGATGTGCTTTCCACTTTGAGGAGTCCCAGAGGGTGGACTCTGTCACTGTACTACACTTAATCCCCAAGTAGGATCAGCAAGTGCTGGAGTACCCCCACTGGACTCTGTCTCCTGTTAGCACACAAGCCTGGGTCTATGCTCCTCTACGAGGGAATCTCACGCCCATCAAATCTAAGAAACATGTTGTTTGTCTGTTAGAGGGCTACTCCCTTGAAGCACAGAGGCGATGACAGCCAGGAGAAGCCATACTTCTGGAATTTCTTCACCAAATTCTCCGTAAATGTACAAATATGTATCCAGTTTCTGCCCACACTGCCTGACCTGAAGACAAAGGAGACAAGGTATGATATATCACAGGGTATGGAAGGGTAGTTTTGGCCTTTCCAGTCTTCCACTGTCTGTTTTTAAGCAATATTCCCCTGTGTCAGTGCTGCTGACCAGGATGGATCATCATGAGAGGTGACTTTTTCTAGGACCTGTAGTGAACAGAAGATATCTAAACAGCTTCATTAACTGAGGATGTGAGATCCCCCAAAGAGCCTTTAGGGTCTCACCACAGTGCCTGCTTATGCTAGGTGAGGGCTATGTAGTCTCACAATGAAGGAAGCAGTATTGATTGGAATGTCCTGACTTTAACTTAGCAATTCTCAGTCCTGTCCATGAATGGGTGGGCAAGGGCTACTGGCATTATTGTTATCAGAAGGCTTTTGAACACTAGGAAAGGCCTAGAGGGTGACCCAGGCCTCTTGGAACTCTTGGGTTATTAGGGATCAAAGCTACTCCTCAGGTGAGATCACTCTGTAGGGTGTGAGACATTTGGGACATAGGGTGGGTCTTGAGGATTGTAGGTCTTCCAAGCTCGTTGATGGCCACCAGGTCATACCAGCTGTAGCTGTCTTGTCTTCCCCACCATGATAGACTGGAACATTGAACCATTCATGAACCAAAATAAAGTCCTCTGTTGTTTATATTTGTGTGTTTTGCAATATTTACACTCAAGTCTCATGCTCTGTGTATGCATTTAGGTGACATTGCAGTGCTCAGCAATTGCCGAAAACCCATCCACAATACAAACTTTCCCATGGAGAATTGTCAGACTGATGTATTCTCCCCATCCCTTCTTCCCCACATTAGGGAAATACAAATAAAATCTGTCAAGTGTCCTGTCACACTGATAAGGGAAGTAATGAATAGCTGTAGAGTCTACGCATTCCTCCCTATTTTCCAGCATCCACAGCAGAATGAAGGGAAATTTCTCCAGGAGCTGGGCTTTGGCTATGGAGGCAGTTATGTGTCCCAGCTTCCGGAACACCCTTTAATGCCCGATGTCCTGAGCCTGGCTCAGCATTTCTAGCAGGTGCTGACAAAGAAGGCAGCTGTAGACCTGCTCATTTCTTCTCTGAGGTTGTCAATCCCAATTACTACAAGAGCTATGGGCTGTTCCCATGAAGACTCTGAGATCCCTGGGCCTATTTTCTCCTGCTTTGCCCCTGCATGGAGAGTAAACAGATGAAGAGTGATTATAAGTGCATGAAGAAATGAAGCAGAACGTGGATCAGTTTCTGAACATAAGAGAACACAAACAGCAGCATTAAATAAAGGAGTCAATAAAGGGTTTGGGGATGGAATTCAGTGAAGAGATAGGAATACTGAAGGGAAACCAAAATGAAATGCTGGAAAAGAGGGAAACTAATAAGCTGAATAAAATGCTCAGCCGAAAGTCTCACAAACAGGATGGGTTATGAGAGCACAGGGCATGAGGCATTGAGAAAAGGGTAGAGAGACTGGAACATTCAGTTAAAGATAATGATAACATTTAAAAAAGTGAATAGGACTTGTGCAACCATTGAACACCATAAAAAGGCAAAATTATGAACTAGGGGCATAGAAAGCAGAAAAATCTCACACGAAAGAAATAGAAAATATTTCCAAGTGGCTGTGCATAGGGCTCAGTGGATGAATTGGGTGCTGTGTAAGTGTGAGGACCTGAGTTAGAACTCCCAGATCCTTCAGAAGTCTGTGCAGTAACACACAATCTGCAATCCCAGCGCTCCTATCAGGATATGGAAGACAGAAACTCTATCCCCAGGCAGTCCCTTGTGCCTCTTACCTCTCCTCCCCCAGGACAAAAACCTCCTTTTCCCTCATTGTCTAGTCCTTTATCTCCTGTCTTTGTCTCTTATTCCCTGTCCTCTGGCCCTCTGGGGCAAATAAATCTCATTTGTGCTGAGAAGTTGGTCTTGGGGTGTCTTGTTTCCATACCAGTCCCTTTATTCTAGATGGAAAAAAAAAGAGAAAAACTTTAAAGAAATGTGATACTCAGTAATCTGATTAAAAAGTAAAATAAAAATTTAAAAGCTTGAAGCTCCGGAGGGTCAGATGTGGGCTATTTCCCTCAGAGTTACTGGTCAGGGAGGCTCCCAAAGCAAGACAGGCAATTGCCACTGCTCTTAGGTGCCCATAAGAACTGGATGCTCAAACCATATTGCCAAAGACACCATGCACTCCAATGGAGAGACACTGAGAAATCAAGCAGGGACTGCGCTAGAAGCTACCTCACTTGTTGGCTAACTCCAGCTTTGCTTGAAGGTCTGTGCTGGAAGGTCTACAGAAGAAAAATTGCCAGCTTACTCAGTTGTGGAACCTGTATGCCACACGATGGCTGTCCATGACTGGCCAAGCAAGCCTTGTGCCCACTGGTGGAATTGAAGAAGGTCTATTAGTGATAACCCATTGCTTTCTGATGGGATTTGAGTTCTCCTCCACAAGAGGGACTTCCTATATGGCCTCATAAAACCTAGACAAAAGCCTGTGGCTGGGGAGATCATAGGCTTTAGTGGTGAAGCTGCTACTGTTGTTTTGCTAACTGGACACAATGTGCCCATTAAACTTCCTACTAAATAACTGTGTTATTTAGAATGCTGGTAGATTACTGCCACCATTGACTTTGGCCAAGCAACCTTGGTCAAAGGTTTTGTTTGTTTGTTTGCAATGAGCAGTAACAATTGCAGAGGTTCATAACTGGTTAAGAGTAAGTGATTGATTCCAAGTTGAATGAGTGGAAAACTCAGATGAAAATGAGACATTTATATCACACCCTCTAAAGTCAGGGGAATATCACCCAAGATTGCTTTAAAAAAAGTAAAAGCTGGGAAAGTTAGAGAGTGGTGCAGAACATTGAGTTCTAGACATGACATGACATGACTGCTGAACTCTGGAACTCACAGCAGCTAGGATAGCCTGCCCAAGATCTCCATGAGACCCAGCTCATCAACACTCTTGTCATGGGGACCCATCCTTCCCGGAGGGCTTATTTGTGGCTAATGGTTGCTGGAAGAGGGAAAGGCAGTTTCTTCAGTGATGTAGCCACTGGTTGGGTGCCCTGCTCCTGGAAACAACCTAATGAAACTCACTGGGTCATTAAAAAACAAATATGAAAACAGAAAGGGAGATAGAGGATTAATAGGGGGAAGGAGGAGAGAAGGTAAATCGCAATGAAATGGTAAAAATACATTTCATACATGTATGGAAATAATAGTGAAAAATACAGACAAGTCAAATGGCTAAACCCAGGAGATTGAGTATAAACATGATTTTCCATTTTATAGAAATTAAGAGCACACTGCAAATTTCTGTAAGCCAAGAAATTGGATACTTAGATGGCATACCACCAGAGAAGCCCTAAGCCTCTTTGGGTTTCAGATCCAGTCTCCATTCTCTCCCTTGACAGCCAGAAGGGGTCTAAAGACTAATCCAACTTCCCTGCCACACTGAGAAAAACAGCCTCTTCCCAGGGTAGGGGCTGTCCATGGCTGGACCCTCAGGGCAGTAAAATAAAGGCTACTACAAGCAGCAAAGCTGAGAGAGTTTCCATAGGGGCAACAGTAATCTCCAAGGTTCCTCTGTAGGTAGTTGACATGGCTAAAAAGGTACCTTCCAGTAGCCTTTGGGCCTGTGGGGCTTGGTGACAGCATCAGGGTCAAGATGCTGGGGACAGAGCCATCCAGAAGACCTGTGTTGGCCTCCCTGCATTCAGGAAGTCAGTGACAGAAGTCTACATCCTGGGGAGTGGCTACAATGATCTTGACTGTCATGTAGAGTCAAACCTACCACTGATGCCCAAGGGGTCTCTAGGGACAGTGCAGGAGGGCAACTCACTTGTCCAGGATGATGTACAGGTCGAAAACACCCTGACAGTCCTCCCCTGATTGTCTTTGGCTCAAGTTTTGCTTCATGCGTTTGATCTGGCGTTGGTGGAAAGCTGGGAAGGTGTTGCCCAGGCGATGGAGTAGTTTCCAGCCAGGGCCACGGTATCGGAAGCTTCTAGCTTTTGAAATGGGAAGAGGCAACAGGAGCAAGAGAACAAAAAGTGCCAAGCAAGGCATGCGGGGAATGTGAATCCCCATGTTGTCTGACCTTGCTACCTCTTGGGAAGCTGTTGAAGGTCACATGTAGGCTGAATGATAGCTCTCCTTGGCCTCTTTCTTCACCATCTCTGCCTGGACCCAGGAATTGAAGACCGCCACTTGTATCCTACCATCAATGGTAGCACTCCACCTGGAATACCAGAACATAGGGACTTGGAGGCAGCTTGGTGTCCTTCCACAAATACCTGCAGAGCCCCTCTCCTACCTTGGGACAAAACACTCTGGGTTTGTGATGCACAGGGAGGTTGACATGGTGACTTTGTGACCTGCCCCTCTGCTCAATGCCTTTATGCTGACAGTGCCAAGTGGTTGTCATAGGCCCTTTGCAGGAATCTCAGATGAGGCTGCCTTATCTCCAATCCCAGCCCCTCATAGGACATGCTTAGGGGACATTTCAAGGTACCCAGGTGTTTTGTTAGTGGAAAAGGTGACTGAACTCACCAGTTATTGTGGGTGAAGAGATCAAGATAGCAAGGGACAAGTGTGTGGAAAAGGGAGTGGCCAGTCGTGACCTGAAGTCAGGATGCAATGTAGGGTTTCAAAAAGAGATGGAGATTGTGTGCTGCTGCCAGGGTCCCCTGTAAGTGAGAAGAGTTCACCCATCCATTGCCCAGTTGATGACTTAACAGAACCATTTTATTGTGATCTCAGGTTAAGTGGGCCAGACCCTCAGGAAAGGTGGAATGGGAGGCCCCCAGGCAAAGGACCCTGGGAAGTCCCAAGCACCAGGAGAGACTGGAATTGTCTGGAATCTTCCTCATTGTTCCCTGTGGCAATTAGAGTTGTCGTGAAACCCTAGCCTGTGGTCCCTCCTTGTGACTTGGGCCTCTTCACAGAATCAATGGGCATGAACGTTCTTCATGGAGCCTCAGAGCCTGAGGGGACAGTATCTGCAGGGAGTAGTTTGAGACGGGAGGCCTTTATGACATCACTTCACCAGGCATGGTGTCAGAGCTTCACCAGGCTCTCAAGGTTCAGAGAGGAGTGTGGGTGGGCTGCCCTGTGTATCACCCTTCTGCATAAAAGTACCTGGAGTGGCAGAGGGAGCATGCTGTGGAGGGATGGTGCCAGTGCCAGACAACTGCATTCAAAAGGAATTCAGAACCATCCAGAGTGTGAGGGAAATAATGTTTAGAAATACCATAACCACTTTTCTTTTTATGACTGCAAGCTCCGAAAAGTCATCAAGAACTGAAACCTTTCCTCTAATTCATTCTAAAGTCGATCTCAGTATGTACAACATAAAGTTTGCAAGGCATAGCACAGGGCCTGTGGGAATCTTGTGTTTTCTTTTGCTATTGTCATTAGTGACCTCAAGTAACTTGTTGAAACTGATCAAACTTAGGATACTTGCTTTATCACATTGGAGTTCTCATCACATCTTCCATGACAGATCTTATTGTCATAGTTGTATAGTTTTTCCCATTAAATGGGTATCTCTTAGACCTTAATCTTTTATTCATTCCTAAGTGGACTGGCCATCTGTTCACATGACCTGGGCATTTGTTCCTCTGAAGAGACTCTATGTATGTTTTCTTTCTCCATCTAGTGTGTTTATCCTTCTATATTGGCCCATTTACATTCTCTATTCTGAATACCAGGCCTTTATCAGTTGTGGCAATTATATTCTTCCAGTGCACGGCTCTTTTCTTTTTAACTTAATTTTGAAAAAATAATGCATGGGTCCTTAGTTTTGATACAGGTTGTTGTGGGTTAGATGAAAGGCCTTGGTCTCTAAGGTAACAACATTGTATCCTAGTGGAAATCTTTAATCATTGAGGACAATCCTTGAAGGGAAGGTGAAAGCTCTTTTCTTTTTAACTTAATTTTGAAAAAATAATGCATGGGTCCTTAGTTTTGATACAGGTTGTTGTGGGTTAGATGAAAGGCCTTGGTCTCTAAGGTAACAACATTGTATCCTAGTGGAAATCTTTAATCATTGAGGACAATCCTTGAAGGGAAGGTGAGTTCTCCATCTCTTCCATTTCTTTTCTTTTTTTTTTTTTTTCTCTTCCATTTCTTTACCTGGCTCGTGAGATATGCCAGCCCCAACAAATGTTGACTGGAGGTTCTACCTTCCTAAAGTCCCAAAGACATAAGACAACCTGATCCTGGAGCTTTCAGAACTGTGAGCCAACGCTTGACAAAGGAGATGCTGATGAAACACTCCTACCTGAGAGCTCTTGGTAGCTGTGGTTGCTGGCAGAAAAGATGCTTTCCTGACCTGTGCTGCCCACACTCGAGTGCTGGCCGTGTGTCCACGCATACCTGCAGTCTAATTAGACTCTCTGGTTTATAGAGAAAAAATCTGAGTTTGAAATTTTTATAATTAGTTTTAGAAATCTAATATTTTAAAATGTAATTTAAATGATTACTATTATATAAGTATGTAATATTGTTATACATATATTATTTTTTCTAGCAGAACAAATAGTTCTAAAAAATAAGCCTGCCTTTTGAAACAGTTAATAGCTTCAGTAGTTTTCTTATGTCTTCTTAAATCTAACTAACACACAGATTAACTGCCATTTTGCTACTCCCTGAACACCTTCAGATTCTCCAGTGTCACAGAACTTGCCCAACCCTGGAACAGGGCTGTCATTTTACAGGTGGGCAGCGGGGGCTCTCCAAAAGGCAAAGGGGCAGTGGGAAGCTTCAGCAAATACCCAGGGGAGTTTCTGAGATGTCACAGCTCTGCTAGACCAACCCCATCAATGTGGATCGCAAGTTGTAGGCTGGAGGGATTTGGGGGAGCTTTGCATAGAAAAGGCAGGAACCACAAAAGCAGAGGTCAGAGTGCCACTAGGGGAGGGGTGATGGTATGAATGTGCTAGGCCAGGGATGTTGGGTGGGAGTTAGGGTGGGGTGAGGTGGGGTAGAGTTAGTGGAGGGGTGGGGTCTGGTGGTGAGTGGCTGGAGGTAACTTCCAGTAGCAATGACTTAACCAGACAAGTACCCTTACACAGGCTTCAGTTAGAGGCAGCTGGCCCAGGTCCCGAGAGTCAAGTCCTCAGAAGTTGCAGGCTGCAGACCAAAAACCTGGGACCTGGGTTGACTGTTTTGGTGGTCTCTCCTGTGTGGCTACGAGTCTGGCTCCTCTTACGGCGTAGTTGGGGTGCAGGGCTACAGATTCTAGACTCTTGGAAATGTGAGTTGCAGAGCCTCTAGTCCTGCAGCCCTCCTTGTAGGTGGGGCATAGTTGCTGAGTTGGGCTAAGTTCACATATTTGTGGACTGTCGACTATGCTGACACCAAGATATGCCCTGTACAGAACCCAGAAGTCACGGGGAAGCAAGATCCATCTCAATTCTCCCCTCTTAGTTGTCTGCTTGTCTATCCTTCTGAATTCTGATTTTACTTTCTTTACTCTTAAATTGACTTTCTGGGACTTGTTTCCATCCATAAATGACGCCATTCCTGGTGAGTGCTCTGTTCTCAGCCAGGGTGTGGGCTGGGCACTGGGGTAAGAATCATACACCAGCCATCGGTCTTTCTCTAGCAGGTATTTCCAAACATCTGCCAATGTAACATGTTTTGTACCCATCGTGGGAAAAACAAATGCTCAAATTATAAATCTTTGAGTTTTCAGGAGGAGCAGAAAGAAAATGCATGGTTTTAGAGAGATGTTTCTGACTGGGTGTGCGTGGAAGTAAAAATGACAGTAAATGCTTATGAATGCCCCTGACAATTCACACAATAAGCAACATGGTTTTACTGCTTAGTGAGACACAAAACACTTTAAAAATTTAACTGTGGTGTTTGAAATTAATGTTTGTGTTTGTAGGTAGAGGGCCAATGTGATAGTATTTTATGTTAATATCAGATTTTCTTGACCACATTTCCAGTGAAGATGTCTAGAAAAGCAAGTCTGGTTAATTTGGGAGAAAAAAACAGAAAGAAGATATTGAGACCTTTCATTTCTTGTAGAATTCAGTCTTGTGACTGAGACATGGCTTCATCTTTTTTTAATGTTTCTGGTATGCATTTTATTGTATATACCTTTAGGTTAAAACACAAGATACCAAAGTTGTTTGTTAATTACCATTTAAACCCAGTTTGATAGTTTATTGTGTTCTTTAATGCACATCCGTCGGCTGAGGTTTTCATCAGATGCTTCATAGGAAACTTGGCATTAGGTGACACAGACATGAGCAGAAACGAAATGTTATGGAGTCACAGTGAGTTTAGTGAAGTAATTTTCCACATCATATCAAAGAACACTGGGAAGCTCCTGTGTGTGCATGGTGTAGTAAGAACATACACCTGGATGACCCCGCCCCGTGTGTGTGCATGGTGTAAGAACATACATCTGGATGACCCCGCCCTCCAACAATAGGCGGGGCACTCACAGGAAAAGGTGCCACGTCATCACCACGTCACCCGCCACGCATTAGGGCCTGCGTGAGGACTCTGTGCATGCGTGAAACCTCAGTGCACATGTGCAGTCTTTCCTTTAAAAGGTCCGGCCTTCCCGCTCCCTTCTCTCTCTCTGTCTCCTCTTGGGTCGGCTGACAATCCAACCCCATCCTCCCCCCTCTTCCTGTAAATAAACTCCACGTGGGTTGTTCATCCATAGTTTCCTTTCTTTACACCCGCAGCTGCAGCGTAAAAGAGTAACACATGGGGCTTCAGTTTTAGAGGCTATAGCAAGGATTTCCTAAGCCTTAAAGATGGTTTATTTGTATAAATTACTTTTATGTATAAAGTAAACATTTAATAGAAAAATTATACCTTCATAATATATTCCTGTGATTCTAACACTATGGTTAAGAAAGGGAAATATGTATCTCAAAACAAAAAGTAACCCACCCCAAGTTAATGTGATCAGTTTAAGCAAAATGTTCTATTTAAAATGGCATACTATAGAAAGTAAGGAAACACAGGAGTAAAAACATTACCTTTAATAGTATACGAAGGCAAGTACTTTAGCTCTCCCAAAGAAGCTGGGACACAGTCAGATTAACGTGAACAGGATGGAG